GATAAAAATAAACTAGACGCTTTTGAAATGTGGCTATCCGCCGCATATTAAGAATATCCTGGATTGATCATCGCACTAACGTATCGATATATCAACAACTTAAAGTAAAGGATAGATTGCTTAAACAAATACAACAAAGGTATTTGCAGTATTTTATACACATTGTGGGAAGAACAGTTACGATAAAAAAACTGATAGTCGAAGGTAGAGTTAAAAGAAAGACACCTAGGGAAAGATCTTTAAACCGTTGGGTAAACTAAACAAAAATATTGATTGACCAAGGGTTACATAAAGTTAAACAACTAGCCCATGACAGGGAAGGATGGAGGAAAATCGTGAAAAAGCTGTAAAGGCCTGATGGTGTTACCACATCCCAAACGGGATTAGGACTGAGAAAGAAAATTTCATTAGACTATTTTTAACTGATAAGACGTCATAGCAACGCCACGTTTCCTACTGACAAGAACTAATAAATCATCCAAAGCTACGACGAGAAAACCCCCGATGGAGCACAAAAAAAGTTTTTTCACCTTTGCTCATTTAAACTTGCTTGGAGAGGCAATGAGGCCGTAAACTACAAGATTCAGTTTTTTTCCAAAAGGAATTTGATGTATGGGAGAATTTAATGCAATCAAAATCAAAGCAAAAAGATTCTATTTGCAAATTCTATTTGCTAAATGAAAACAAAAAATAATATTTACTCTTATCAATAATACATATATTGTCAACTCCTGGTTGCTGTACCGAAGACTCTGCAAACAAAAACAAGTGAAACACATCACCCTTCTCCAAATCAAATCTCAAGTTGGACGTTGCGTTACTGAAAGCTGGAAAGTCCGACACGAGAAAACGAGGACGTCTTTCTTAAGAGAATACACCAAATAAGAGACAAGTAATGCATCTTTCACCATTGCAAGATGTTCGATTTAATGGCGCAGGATACTGGCCACTGCATGATCAAAATCGCAAAAGGTGCAAATTATGTATAAAGTCTCACTCTATAATAAAAAGTGCAATGTTTTTTATGTTTAAACAATAATAACAATTGTTTTTATAGTTTCCATCTACAAAATAAAATTGTTAATAGTATAAGTGCAATAATAAACCTATTTCCAATTAAAGTCAATTTTTAAACCAGGCCACTATATCAAATGTTATAAATGGATAATTCAGGTACCACCAATGCCAGATGATTCTAAATGGTATCAATTTTTTTTGAGTTTAAAGACACTAGGATGCAAAATTTTTACAAAAGTTATCGACCATTATTTTTTCTTGTATCGTTTCCTATAACGTACATTTTTTTTAACAAAATTTATTGAAAAAAAAATCATTTGGGCTGGAAAGGGTTAACAAACAAATGAAGATTATGATTATGATTAGACTTCGGCAAATATGCATATTGCATATTTTGCATATTGTGCATATTTTATGCAAATATTTCATATTTTGGCATATTTGTATAAAAGTTTGCATAAAGTGCATAAAAGTTCAGATTTTTATACTGTATTTGAAAATTTTTAAACATACCAATTTATTTCAATTCTTGTATAAAATTTTGTAGTCATTTTAATCAAGAAATTGATACAGGTACAAAAGATTTACAATTTCAAAGATCAATTTAAGTAGCCCTCAACATTCTTAGAAAGTCTTGGTCACTGAGGCATTCAGTTATTGGATAATCGCTAAGGGTTCGCTCATTTGCATTTTATGATCTAATCCCCAAATCTATCTACAATTTATTGTATCTTAACAGCAGGTAAACGGCTAATAGTTTTGTTCCTAATTTAGGGATTTTCCAAAATCTCCCAGTTTATTGAATTAGGTACCTAAACATTTCTAATTTGATGCTCAGATTTGTAAATCATTTTTGTTTTGATATTCAAAGCGTAAACACTTGTTGTGCTTATAAAAACGGAAGATTGTGATTTTATAATGCCTAAAACAACAGTGCTTCAACTTGGATTAAACCTTATAAAGAGCTGTCTATGGATATGGGAAAAATCTACTGTTCAGTCTGTGGCAAAATTGTAAGTATCTAATATTTTCTATTAAATATCTAATATTTCATACATACAGGGTGTTTCTAAATGACACTTACAACGTTTGACTGTAGATACTTCTCGAAAAATTGAACAAAACGATATAGTTAATGAGGGGTCAAACTTATTTACTTTTTGAGATACAGGATGTTAAAATTAAAAAAAAATTAAATTCTTTTAGTTAATAACAACAATAACTTTAAAACCAATAAACGTATTTACTTGAAATTTAGTACTCGTAGGTTGTTTTTAAATGAAAAATAGCTTCCTTTAGTGAGAAAAAATTGTCCATGGTACAATACAATGGTGTGTATTTAGAAAAATTTTTCACCTTTACTTTTTTTTATGAAGTCAGCTATTCTAAAACACAATTATTTTTATTGTAATTGAATTAACAAAAAAAAACTTTTGTTGAATTTTAAAATAAGTTATATGATGTACTAATGTTTAGTAACAAAAACTAATTTGTGGATTAATACTGCATTTAAAACACTTAGCGAGTGTTTTTTTTTCAAACCAGTTATTTGATTAACCAAAAACACCTTGTATATTTTTATATTTTAAAGGTTGGGTTAAAATAAAGGTTTTTATTTTTATTTATAGATAGCATGTAAGAAGAAATTTCAGATAGACCAACATGTGAGAACTGCTTCACACATTGCAAAAAAAGGAAAAATAGGAGGAAAAATCAAACTTCAATGGCTAAATGTTTCCAATCTACATCAAAAAAATTAGATGAGCAAGAAACTTTTAATGAAGACTTGTGTCGCGCATTAGTGTCTGTAAACATACCGCTTTCAAAATTAGCAAATGTAAATTTTAGTTCGTTTCTAAAAAAATATTGCAAACTTAATGTTCCAAGTGATCGGTCTCTAAGAAGAAATAATGTGAACGGGCTATACTCGTCGGTGTTTATTAATATTAAGGAAGAAATTGCAGATAATTATTTTTACATATCTGTAGACGAAACCACTGATTCCTCAGGAAAGTATATTGCTCATTTATTGATTGGTGTTCTTAAAGAAGATACCTTACCAAAATCTCATCTTATTTCATGCCAGCAACTTGAGAAAACAAATGCTTTAACAATTTCGCGTTTTATACAAGAAACATTAGCAACTTTTTTTCTTCCGACAACTATTCCTTCTAATAAATTACTGCTTATTTTATCGGATGCTGCTCCTTATATGGTGAAAGCAGGACAAAATTTAAAAATATTTTTCCCAGATTTAATACATGTTACTTGTGTAGCGCATGGATTAAACAGAGTTGCAGAGGAAATACGAAAAAAGTTTCCTCTTGTAAATACCATGATATCCAGTGTCAAAAAAGTATTTCTTAAATCTCCTATAAGAATTCAACTTTATAAAGAAATGCTACCTAACATTCCTCTTCGACCACAACCTATTTTAACGCGATGGGGAACATGGTTGGAAGCAGCTAATTTTTATGCAGATCATTTTGTTAAAATAAAGAACATAGTTGATACGTTAACAGATGAAAGTTCCCAATCTCTTTTGGATTCTAAACAAACTTTTCAGAGTACCTTGCTTCAACAAGAACTTTCATTTATAAAATCAAATTTTAGTTTTGTTCAAAAAACAATTACTCGGTTAGAATCACCAAAACTCTCATTGTTCGAAAGTACAGCATTAATAAAAGAATTTGCGTCATGTTGTCGGAACGTTAGAGGTAATATTGGAAAAGATATTTTAAAAAAATTTGAAGCTACTATGTAAAAAAATAAAGGTTACCATATTCTTTCTGAAGTAGTCAGTGTTCTAGGTGGAAATATTTCGGAAACAATTAATTTAGAACCAAATGTTTTGGTTAGTTTGAAAAATGCTCCCGTTACATCAGTTGATGTTGAACGAAGTTTTTCCATATATAAATATATGTACTCAGACAGAAACCACAAGTTTTTGTTAGAAAATTTTGAACACCACTTGGTCATTTAATGTTACCATAATTCTAAATAAGTTTATTCATACTTAAAAATGATGTAGTTACTTAAAATAAATGTAAATCTTAATGAATAGTAGGAAATATTTAGTTATGTACACTTTTTTTTTTTTAATAAAATTGTTACTATTTTACGATTTTTTTATTTATTTGTATGCATATTTTGTAAAATATTTGCATATTTTCGGGTAAACACGTGCATATTTATGCGCATATTTTCTACATTTTTATTTGCATATTTGCCGAAGTCTAATTATGATATATTAAGATTATGTTTCGTTGATATGGTGCATTAATTTTCTAGTGAAATAATCTTGTCAAATATCATTCAAGAGAAAATTATTATTTACCAGCAACATTTTCTTCTGGTTTTATTCAAAATTGTTGCCTTTTCTCAATTTTCAGTTATGAAATTTTGACAAAAAAACTCTACTAACGTGATTTAAATGTCAAAATTTAATTGGCGAAAATTGCCACGCAATAAACTTTCATACCAATCAAAAATGTTGCCGGCAAAATTTTCTTTCTTATGATATTAAATACAAAAAAAAATAAGTATTTTGACAAGCTGACAATATTTCGTTAGCTACTGTTTACATAACATTTTTTATCTTATAAAAAATTAAAGTAACAGGTATTTTAACCCCAGAAAAGACACAAATTTGCCTCTCGGCAATTAATACACAATTTTTTCTGTCGGTAAAATTAATTGCAATTAATAATAAAAGAAGTAAATAAAGTATAATTCCATATCAGATAATATGCATGTGCATGATGAAGTATAATTTTTAGCAACATCTTTCCAAAATTTAAAGCAAATAAAAGAACCAAATGAAATATCTCTGTAATTTTAATTCAAAACATTTTAAGATTGTTACCTTTTTTATCGCTTTATAATATTTAGAGGGGTCAAAATAAAATAATCATTTTGTAAAGATTAAAAATAGATTATTGAAAAGCTGATTCTTATCACTCTTTTAAATTGAGAAAACTTACCCTGGATGATGTTTACTATAAGGATTGTATTTTATCCGGTATTCGCATCAACCACCATCAACTTCTCAGATTCACTATTTCTAACACCCTTTTTCTCCCTTAAATCATGTCCAACACCCTCCCCAGTCCTATTAAGCCCCCGACTTCCATGCCTATGCGCCCCGACGTGCCTATGCATTGAGCTGTGGTTGCGCGGCACCGGTAAATGGGGTTGCTTGTCATTTCCGTCCCAATTGGGGTAGTTTCCGGCCGACACGTGAACCACGAAAAGCGCCGAGCTTAGAAGAGCCAAAGTCGCGTGCATCTTGGACCGCGTGCACGTGAGCACTTTCGCCTTCTGTCTTCGCCTTCGCAGTGTCTAAGGAGGCTGTGCGCGGTCACGTGACCGCGTCGGCCGTTCGTAGCGGTGTTTTGTTTTGTTTCTCTAGCGGTGAATGGGAAATGCACAGCTACGATGGGAATGGGAATGCCGCGTGGTAGTGGAAAGTGGAAGCGGTTTGTTTTGACGGATTTGTTTTGGATGCAATTTGCATATTTGTATACAGGGTCTATAATTACTGCAACGCCTTGAAAGTGTTTGATAATAAACAATAATAAATCGATACCGCGCAATTAAAATGAGTAATTGTACTGAAAGATCATCTTATAATTAATTATTTAAAGGTTCATTTATATTATATTATATATTATGTAAGAGTTAAGAGTTAATACGTTTCCTTCAGCTAATATTTTGTTAAATAAGCGTTATAACGTATGGTAAAAAAGTTTTGGGAAAAATTTCACCTGGTCTGATTGAGAAGCAAAATGCATTTAACAAAGAAGGCCATGGAATTGAAATGTCATCAGTTATTGACATTTAATAAACAAAGCAGAATATTTTGGTTTTTGCTTTGCAAAATGCCTTAAAAAATTGATATTTGTCGAGGTGTTTATATTATGGTTGGGCGAATGTCGAAACGAGATATTGTTATTATTTATTGAGATCAAAACATAAGCTAATCGACAATTTATCGCACAATCAGAGAATGTGAAAAAGGGATAACATGTGTTAACTTGCTTAAAAGTGGCTGTTCGCGGATTTTGAACCATATAAGAGAGGCAAGACTGATTGAACAGCTAAGAACAAAATATTTTTTATCGTCCATCACGATCAACTTGTTGACGAAATGCACTCGGCTTAACGCTTGGTAACATCTCGGAATTCACTCTAATTTATCTTCTGTGTATTTTGGAGCTTTCCTTCTTTTCCGATAGATAATATTGTTACTCGATAGGGTCCTGTATACTGTAGTCTTTCCAACATGAAATCATAACATAACATAACATAACATAACATAACATAACATAACAATATCTTTATTTTTAGAAAATAATATACATTCCGTGAACATAAAATTATTTTAAAAAAACAGTGTCACAAACGAAAATATTATTTACTTATTCCTAACCGTTACATATACAAATAGTCCTCCACAGAATATGGCTCAAGAGCTACCAGTAATTTAAATATTTGATGTTTATACAAACTTAATTTTTCCTCTCTTTTAATAGGTTCAGGCAGTTTACTAAACAATTTGATGCAGCAATAAAGAGCGTTTTTTTTCTGTTATACTTAACCTGTGTATTGGAATTTTATAATTATATAACCTGGTATTTACTATACTATTGGGCCCTATTTTATTTTTATATAGAAACAGTAAGCATTCTTGAATAAATACAGCGTAAACTGTTAAAATATTATTACTCCTAAAATGCTCTCTACATGATTCCCTACTTTTTAAGTCAAACATAACTCTGATTATTTTTTTCTGCACCAGAAATACATTATTTAGGTATGTCCCTACTGTGGCCAAAATTTATTAGACCATATCTAAATTTTGCTTCAAAATTAGCATGATACACTGTTTTTAATGAGTTACTATTCATGTATTTTTTTAGAACTCTAAAGCTGTAAATCACTTTACTGAAAGACATACATAACTAGTCAACATGTTTATCCCAACATAAAAAACTGTCAATAATCCTAAAAATTTTTTACTGCTGCTAATATTTAAAGTGTCATTATTTATAATAATACTGTTTGGCATATCTGAATGTGCATAATTTGTCTTAAACAAAAGAAGATCTGTTTTATTTTGATTTAAAACCAACCTATTCATAGAAAACCAGTCTTTAGCTTTCTGGAACTCTAAACTAGCATTAACGCTTAAAACAGACATGGCTTTACCACTGACTAAAATGTTTGTATCATCTGCATAATTTGTTATGCTGGAAGTAGTATTAGATCATGAGGATCATTGATATAGATCACAAACAGTAAAGGACCAATCACACTTCCTTGTGGTACTCCAATATTGATAGTGCTTTTAGATGAGATGCCTATTTCAGTGTTTTTATGTATTTTTACTAAATGTTTCCTATTTGCCAAGTAGGACTTAAACCAGTTCAATGCTGGTCCTCGTATACCATATTTCTCCAATTTATCAAATAATATGTCATGCACTAAACAATCATATGCGGTTGATGGGTCCAAAAAGATACCCAAAGCCATATGACCAATCTCAGTACATTTAAAAATATCCCAAATTGAAAAATCGCAGTCTGAGTTGATTTTCCCTGTTGATAACCATGCTGATTTGCACTAATAATATGATATTTTGTTAAAAATTCTGTTATCCGCCTATACATAGTCATTTCTAAGATTTTTGAAAAGGAACATAGAAGGCTAATAATTGGTCTATAGTTATTAATTAATTTAGGATCACCCTTTTTGTAAACAGGTGTTACTATGGCAGTTTTCAGGCATTCAGGAAATACACCAGATTTTAGTGAATTATTTATGATTGTAGTGAGAGGATTCACTATCTCCTTTATAGAAAGTTTAAGGATTTTAGTGGGTATTTCATCAGTTCCACAACTTATTTTGTTTTTGAAATTTTTAGTTATATCCATAATTTCAGTTTCTGTCACAGGTGCGACAAACACTGAATTTACGTTACTTGCAATGTTGTCTTTATATTCTGTGTATTGTAATTGAGATAAAGTGTTATTTAAAGAAGTATTTAAGTGGATCATGTATTTATCAGCAATCTCTTGAGGACTACCCTCTACTTTTATTGAATTTACACTTTTTAATTGACCATTAATTTCACTAACAATTTGCCACATGCATTTATTTTTGTTGGCAGCTTCAGACATCCTGGTTTCATATAGCTTTGATCGTTTTGTTATTAGTTTCTTATTATATTCTTTTTTTACCTGTCTATAGGAATCATAGAATTTATGGTTAACTCTACTCATTGTAAACAAGATGTCTAAACGAGTCTTACATTATATTATCTCTGGATCATCTCTTTTATTAAGGTCTTTTTTACGTTGCCTAGAATCTAACTTTTTGAAAGGAAAGCACTGATTGAATATATACAGAAACTGATTTAAGAAAATATTCCATTGATCATTTACACATTTGTAACTTAAATTAAGCCAGTCATGATTATGTAATTTACTTATAAATGTTTCAATATTATTTGTGCTAAAATGTCTTTTCATTTCAAGAGTATTCGTTTCTGCTTCCTCTACCTGAAAGGTTAATTTTTGGGCAGAATGATCAGAGATTCCAGCGTGCAAGACTTCTACTGACACATATGATTGCATATTTGTTAGTATGTTATCTATACAAATCTTCTGGCCAGTTTTCGCTGTGAGACCCCAATTTTGTTAATATGATTTTTAATATGATTTGGTGAATAAACTCATAAGTTATAGGTAATTGTATTATAAAAAGAACAATACTTACAGTTGCTTACAGAGGAAAAACAAAAATTTTCAAAATAACTTTTGTGATTTATTTCGTTCGTATTTATAAATTCAGTTATTAGCGTTTTTATTAAAAGTAAAGACTTATTTAGTTCCGTTTATTATGTGAGATAGTGTCAACCTTGCCGTATTTGTCGAGACTTTAGAAAAGTCAATACAAACAACTTTTTCACTTAGTTCAGGAAGTTCTTCATACTGGAGCTATTGTGAGTTGTGTACATAGCGATGTTTTATGGACGTAATAAATTAGAGTAAAAAAATATATATGCGTTTGCAGTAGGGATGGCGGTTTTTGACTAAAACACCGGTTTTCGGTTATACCGGTTTTTTTTGCTTACGGTTTAACCTGGCGGTTATAACCGGCCAAGAAAACCGGTTTTTGCAAAAACCGGTTTTCGGTTTTTTTTAATCCAATATGTTACAAAGTTACATTTACAATGCACTTTAGTTTGCGATACTTCATTCAACTCAATATCAATATGATCAAAATTAGTATTATCGAAAGAACATAACTATCAATATAAATAAAACACAATTTTTAATAAAATCATTTTATTATATTAATTATTATATTTATTTATTATTTTATTATTATTATATATTCATTGATTTATCATTAAATATAATATAGAGTAAGATTAAAGTATAAGTAGAATGAAGAAATATTTTAAGTAAAAAAGTATAGGTTAGAAGGTAACAAATATGTTACCTTACCTATTATATGAAATGTATTTAAGATTATGTTAGCCAATATTTTTCATGAAGCCTATTGAGAAAAGCTCGTTCATGTATATGTTGGTCGGTTAAGCGGCTTCTCTCATCTGACACAATATCATTCAATGATGACATAAGTCTCTCTGATGCCACCGATCTTCCGACCAACGACATGTATTTTTTAGCTATAAAAGCCAAGTCTGGCATACAGGTTCTGTGCTGCTCAAGAATGAAAACGGAACACTTAATCTCGGCAGCAAAGACTGCTTCAGATATAGAGTCAGTTCATTTGGAAAAGAACTTTGAAACCGTGTGTCCTGAGAACTTGAACTGGAACCACTGTTCACCAACTCCAGATCGTGTGAAGACCAAAAAGGGTTTGATTTTAAACTCACTTTGGCTTCTTTATTCTGGAAGGAGCAGAAAGGAGAAAGTTTTCCGATTTCGGTAAGGTACGTCCTTACTTCCGAGCCTAAATTGGATGTGACTGTCTCCGCTATAGACGGATTCAGATATAGTTTTTTGAACCAAGGGTCCGTGATTGTAGCATGGCAAAGCAGAGGGTTTCGTAAAAGCTTAGTGCCTCTCTCTTGAAGGTTAGTTATAACTTTTGGTATAACTTTTGGGCTGTATTAAGATTTGGCTTGAGGTTATTTAAAGATCTTTCGATAATAGACACAAGGGGATAACAAGACTAGTAATGTACTGGAAACCCGAGATCTCGTTTGTGGCCTCATCGAAAGGTAATAAAATTGTTACAATTTCAGTGATTAGTTTTATATCTGAACCAGAAATTATCCTTGGTGCTTTTTTAATCGAGGGATCTGCCAGTATTGCAGCTATATATGAGGACATTAGTGTGAATCTTTTAAGCATATGGTAGA